AGAGAGAGAGAGAGAGAGAGAGAGAGAGAGAGAGAGAGAGAGAGAGAGAGAGATGAGCGATCCAAGATTGGTTGTCACTTACCTGTGAGCCGAGCAGTGGAGTCCGGTGGAGGGGGAAGACGACAGCCATAGCCGCGGAGCATTGACATAAGAGTGCCGGAGGAGAGAGAAAGGGAGGACAGAGAAGGAGGGACTAAGGAGAGAGAAGAAGAAGTGTGGAAGGAGGAGGTTGGAGAAGAAGACAGACATAGCCGGGGGCGAGCACAAAAAAAATAAATAAATAATACAGCGGAAGTGAAGAGAAAGAAAGTGAAGGACGGGGAAGTAGACGGCGAGGGTGACGAGGGTGAAGGTGCCGGCAGCCATAGCCGAGGTGAAGGGTTGACTAAGGGTTGACCAAGGGTTGACCAGAGGGTTGACCAGGGTGGTTGACCAAGCGTTGACCGGGGCTTGTCCGCGTTGACTCGGCGTTGACCAAGGCGTTGACCGAAGCTGCTGACCAAGATTGTGACCAAGCTGGAGTTGGTGATATCTTGTGGAACCCTCAGCCTATCCCCTTACCCTGTGGATGTGCACTTACCCCATGGTACTTGCTGAGTTGTCTGTCTACTCTTTCTGCATTGAGTCTCTTCTGTCTTAGGTGCTAGGACTCTGTGGATGAAGGATAGGGCCTTGCTGCCAAACCTGCACGGGCTTAGTAGGACCTAAGATCTACTCTGACACTTGGAGACCTGGGCATGAGCAGCAAGCGCTCGTTAAACAACTCGTCTAGCCCAATGACTGATACTGTCCGGCAGGTCTACTGAGTCCAGTGTGGAGGGTCTGAACTCCGAGCTGTAGGCTGAAACGAAGGCCGTCTTTAAGTGTTGAGGCCTGGTTGAGCCACTCCCCTACCGGACCCAGAAGGCTGATGATCCGTGTCTGACGACTCGACTGTCCCGAGGGATACGAACCCCTCCAAGGACCGGTACAGACCGGCGGGCTGCTCGGTGTGGCACAGTAGGCCGGAACGGCTGAGTTGTGGGCTGAAATCGCCAGAGGAACCAAGCTGATCACGTCGTCCTGTCTGCGACGTTAAAGAATTCTTGCGGAGTTTGGGGGATCTTCTTAAATGCCTCCTGATCAGCTTTGGTTTCAGTAGTGACAGCCTTAGAGTAGTCTTGGGTTAGTAGTGACCATAGTTGACAGGGTCTTATCCTGTGGTCTTTAGGGAGTCAGTCAGTAGGTTAGTGTGTCCGGGTAGGTCTACGTGGTGAGGAGTGGGACCCCTGTCGTGCACCAACCCCACGATGGATGACTATCCGATGTATGGGCTACTTGTTGGGTTCTCCCTCTGGGGGACCCTCTGGCGTCTCCTCTTCCCGCTGGGCTTCTAACCCACCTTCGCGTGTAGAGTAGGGCCCACTCGTGGTGGTACTTCCACCACCCCTTACACGAAGGAGGAGGAGGAGAAGATGGCCGCCATTCTGCAGGAGAAGAAGGAGAAGAAGGAGGCCAAGAAGAAGGCCTTGAAGGAGGAGCACGCGGCCAAATTAAAGAAGATGGAAGAAGAGATGGCCAGGGAGAAAGAGAAGTTGAAAAAGGAAGAAGAGGAGAAAATGAAAGAGGTGGATGAGGAAGAGGAAGGACCGCCACTGCAAAAGAGTGGGCAGCACAGTGGCAGCAGCAG